AACACGCTTCTCTTAATGAAACGGTAACTAGAAACTTGCTTGAGTCATCATTTTTTGAAAGATGATATCATTCAGCAAAACTGCTTGCGTTGGAGTATTCGGCCGAAGCTGCTTAACGATGACCCAAAATCTGATTAAAAATGTTAATGCCTAACCCTTCCGCCTTATCGGGAGGAAAGTTTTCATACGGCTAGAACTATGGAATTCTCATCACTGTTACAAAATGAATCGCTTGTTTTATATCAGGTTAACTTATTGATTACATACAGTACAATATCCATGCAAACCCCATGTTCTATCTGTCTGCATTAAGGAGAATATATGTAAACATTTTATAGCCATACATGATTATCATAATACAATGCGTCACCTGCAGATTATAATGTCGATCTGAAGAGAGCTGAGTTACACCTGCAGTAGAAAAATTGTATTTGGAGACTGTAGATGTGTAGTATGACTTACTACAAAAAGTGATACCAGAATATGCAGGTATTGATTGACTAAGGGCTCATGTACACGGGGCGTTTGTAAAACTCTTCTGAACGATGGAAACTGACTGCTGGAAAACATAGGTTAAAAAATGTCAGTTTGCATACCACATTTATGCACGTTTGCGTTTAGAAGCATTTTAAAAGATAACCTCGGGAGACCTTGAGAAATGCCCAGAATGCGCTGAAAAATAGTAAAAAAGGAACTATTTCAGACATTTTGAGAGGACTAGAGAGAGCAGAAGCAGAGAGAGCAGTATGTGCTGAGATGACCTGTCTGTTCTGGTTGTATTCACTATGAATCCCATCATGAGTATAATGCGGCACATTCTACCATTTTTTCCTTCACGTGAAACCTGGAACTGACTGCGCTGGTGTACCGGGTCCATTTGAGTACCTTGAAAATGCTTTGCATGCATTTCTGATGGTGAAAAAAGGCTCTGGACAGCATCTGGATATGGAACAGTTAAAAACCGCTTCTAAACGCAAACGCTTATAAATGTGGTTAACCACATATGCAAACTGATTTAATTCCTACACTGTTCACCTGATTTGGATGTAAATACCCTCAAATTAAAGCTGACAGTCTGCAGTTAAAGCACATCTTGTTCGTTTCATTTTAAATCCATTGTAGTGGTGTATAGAGCCAAAAATGTTAGAATATTGTCGTTGTCCCAATATTTATGGACCTGACTGTAATGGATATGGGATGAAAGTGCACACTCTCAGGTTTAATTTGAAGGTATATACATCCAAATTGGAGGAAGGGTTTAGGAATTACAGCTCTTAAGAGTAGCCACCCCCTTTTTCAAGGGACCAAAAGTAATTGAAAGATTGAATATAATCATAAATAAAATGTTCATTTTTAATATTTTGTTGAGAATCCTTTACTGGCAATGACTGCCTGAAGTCTGGAACCCATAGATATTACCAAAGACTGGGTTTCCTCCTTTCTGATGCTTTTTCAGGCTCTAACTGCAGCTGTCTTCAGTTCTTTGTTTGTGAGTCTTTCTGCCTTTAGTTTTGCCTTCAGCAAGTGAAATACATGCTCAATTGGGTTGAGATCAGGTGACTGACTCGGCCATCGCTTAATATTCCACTTCTTTTCCTTTAAAAGCTCCTGGGTTGTTTTTGCAGTGTGTTTTGGATCATTGTCCATCTGTACTGTGAAAAAAATCTAAAATTGTGCCTGTGTCCAAATATATATGGACCTAAACTGTATGCGGGTGCAGCTGTTCTTAATATTTCACTGATTTGCTAATTTTTGTTTCACATAAATTTTCCAGCACTAAGCACAATTTTTTTTGTTTTATATAAAAGTACTTTGATGGGTGGATGTCAGACTGGAGGAGCGGGCGATCCTAGGCAAGCTGTATTTGAATGCAGACCACCCTATATAACACAGACATGTGATGCTGAACCTCCATGATAGAAAGAACTGAAATCCAGTGAATGAAGGCTGTGGGTCAGAGACAGATAGGTGGGGAGGGAAGAGCTAGATGACACTAGACATCCTCCACCCATAAAATGAGGCAGAGCTCTATCTGACTTGCAGCTTCTAATGCACATTGTGAGAAGCTCCCAGTGTGCAGTGAAATCAGAGCAAGTAATTTCCATACAGGAGAGGAGCTTTTACAACTGTGTGTTACAGGATTATCGGCGATCTGAGTGAGAGGTATGATAAAGATCCGTACCGGGACAAGTTCATCTAGTGCCCAGGGCAAGGATGTGGAACTGTACCCCCTCATCCACTATTAATGCATGCCATAGCATGGGTTTCTATTCTTTGCCCCCCTTGCTCTGCTGGGCCCAGGGCAGCTGCCCACCCTTTGTCCTGGCCCTGACAAGGATGCGGTATCTGTATTTAACCACTTGCCTACCAGGCACTTATACCCCCTTCCTTACCAGGCCAATTTTCAGCTTTCAGCGCTGCCGCACTTTGATTGACAATTGCGCGGTCATGCAACATTGTACCCATATGAAATTTTGATCATTTTTTTCTCACAAATAGAGCTTTCTTTTGGTGGTATTTAATTGCCACTGGGCGCTTTACTTTTTGCGCTATAAATTAAAAAAAGTGCAAAAAATTAGAAAAAAAAAAAAAAGTTTATTTGTTTCTTTTATAAAATTTTTCAAACAGGTATTTTTTCTCCTTCACTGATTTGCGTTGATGAGGCGGCACTGATGGGCACTGATAGGCGGCACTGATGGGCACTGATAGGCAGCACTAAAGGGCACTGATAGGCAGTACTAATGAGGTGGCACGGATAGGCGGCACTGATAGACAGCACTAATTAGGGGTCACGGATAGGCGGCACTGATATGCAGCACTGATAGGCGGCACTGATAGGTGACACTGATGATGGGTACTGATAGACGGCACTGACTGGCATCACTTCTGGGCACTGACTGGCGGCGGCACTGACTGGCACAACCCCTGGGCACTGACTGGTGGCACTGACTGGCAGCACTGGTGGGTGGCACTGGTGGGTGGCACTGGTGGACAGCACTGGTGGGTGGGCACAGGTGGGTGGCACTGGTGGGCACAGGTGGGTGGCGCTGGTGGGCACAGGTGGGTGGGCACAGGTGGGTGGCACTGCTGGGCACATGTAGGTGGCACTGCTGGGCACAGGTAGGTGGCACTGCAGAGTGGCACAGGTGGGGGCACTGCTGGGCACAGGTAGGGGCACTGCTGGGCACAGGTGGGGGCACTGCTGGGAATGGGTGGGCGGGGCTAGTGGGCGCACAGCTGATCGGAACTTGCGGGGGTCACTGCTGGGCACCGATCATCAGGGCACTGATCATCAGTGCCCTGATGATCGGTGCCGATCCCCGCTCTGACAACTGCCGGTTCTCGGCAGTACTTTCCTCACGATCTGACAGCGTGAGGAAAGTGCAGCCGAGAACCGGCACTTGCATTTTCCTGTGATCAGCGTGTCATTGGACACCGCTGATCACGTGGTAAAAGGCCGGTGGGATCGGCCTTTCACCACATCCCGTGATCAGCTGTGTCCGTAGGACACAGCGATCACGGAGATCGCCGGGTGCGCGCGCCCCCTGGGGCGCGCAGGAGAGCGCGTTCTGGGAGGACGTCATATGACGTCCACTCAGAACTGGCCGGCCGCGGTGAAGCCATCATTCGGCTATGCGCGGTCGGCAAGTGGTTAAAGAGGAAAACAGAAAACACATGTTGCTCACTTGCATTCTGAGTTTAAAGCGGAACTTTACCCAAAAGGGGAAGTTCCATTTGTCTGCAATTCCCCCCCCCCCCCCCCCCTCACTCACTGCTATATTTTCACTTTCTGGGGGGGAGCAGGTACCTGGTTTTGACAGGTACCTGCTCCCACTTCTGGTCAGATTGCTGCAGCAATTTCCCTTCCTGCTTCCCCCAGCAGCCTTACCTTTCCCTTACCTAAGATGGTGGCACCTGCACCCGAAGCCAATTGAAGAATCGGCTCGGGTAAGGACATCGCTGGATCACTGGACAGGTAAGTGTCCTTATATTAAAAGTCAGCAACTACAGTATTTGTAGCTGTTAACTTCTAATTTTTGGGGGAGACTGGAGCTCCTCTTAAATGTGTTAAACAGAAATTGATCACATTATACAAATAATTACATTTTTTATAGTGTCAGCACAGGCCGCAAGGAAAAGTGCATCAATTTGTATTAGAGAATTATCAGTACTAATATATAGGATACTAAGCAAAGACAGTGAGTATCAGAACAAACACAAAAAAACAACAAAGATAACATAAACAAAGTGTAGCTAACCTGTACTAAGAGGAGAGCAGAAAAGACGTTGATCACTTGCATTCCGAGTTTAATGTGCGCTTGTTGGTATTAGTCTCCTGAAGTCAAATTTCAAATCATTAGAGCTCTCTCCTGCTGAGGCCTAGTAATAGCATTACTGGTAGGTTTATTCATTTACTTGCTACATGGCAAGACAGTAATGCCCGTAGCGAAAAAAGGAAAGGAAAATTAGCGCAGGGCAGCATGACTAGGTCTAGAGTGGGAAGGAGAATTAATGATGTAGGGGGGTGTGGAAAAGTATAGCTGGGTGTGCTGGTTGGTGGAGAGAGAGCGTGGGTGGGCTCTGCCGCACCTTAGGGTACTTGTCCCGGGGAGGGGAGGCATCAAGCTGGACGTTGGTGAGTGAGATTTTGCTTAGGGGGTATTGTGTTCCTCTCGGGGGACAGGGGGTTGTTTCGGTCTTGGGCGGTTTGTTATTGGAGGCGGTTCTTATCTTGGAGGTACAGATAATGGTGTGGGACCATCGGTGGTATGGTGTGCCCGGGGACATTCCAGTTAACCAAGGTTTAACTGGAAGGTGGTGGTGCTGCACTGCGGACGGTATGGTTGTCTCCGAGCTGGTTGGTTGCGGCTGGAGGGTTTGTGTAATATGGTTGTCCGCAGGTGCATTTCAGATCATTTTTTGTAACCCATAATTCCCTGTACAAACTTCTTTGTAAAGTGATTTACATGCATGAACATTTATATTTCCTTTTATTGCAGGTGGAGATTGAAAGAAAACTTATTCCAGTGAGCGGAGAAGATATGGACAAAGCCGGGGAGTGTATAACACAGTGATACCAGAGAAAGTGATTGAGACATTGTATTCACTTTATACATGTCATGGCGCCTTTATGGCAGCTGCTGCAATGCACAGGTCTCCCTGTTCTGTGTATTCTGTACAGGTGTAAAGACTTATCAATGTGACTTACTCTTCAACACACAGATGACAATGATGACACGATCGCCCTGTACATGAAAATCTGAAATGTAATTCTTTCTACTTTTATTATATATGACACACAACATTATGTATGTATTTATCCAAATGTGCTGTAATAAGATTTGATGATTGATGGTGCGCATTGCTACAGTTCAACAATAAATATATACAATCCTTAGTAATAATTACAGCCTTATATTGAGAAATTTAAATCTGTCTGTATTTAATTATAGTTATCCTTTCTCTGTGTGTTGTAATGGAAGGTAGAGTGGTTTTGTACATATTTTCTTTAGTGGTCAAGTTATAGTGGTATTAACCACTTGCCAACCAAAAGACTCGTCTAGTTTTGGGAGGGTGTCTATAGACCAATCACAGCTGATCACATGTAAACAAATGCTGGTTATCGCCATTTCCTTTCCTCACGCAATGCTACTGTGTGAGGAAAGGAAAGCTGATAACTGGCAATCCTGTGACAGCACACATTTACACTGATAATCAGTGCCCTGATTATAAGTGCAGCCCCATCAGTGTCCATCAGTGCAGCTTATTAGTGTTCATCAGTGCAGCATATCAGGCCCACCTATCAGTGCATCCTATCAGTGCCCACTTATTAGTGCAGCCTCATCAGTGCTCACCAGTGCAGCCTCATCAGTGCCCACCAGTACAGCCTCATCAGTGCCCATCAGTACAGCCTCATCAGTGCCCATCAGAAACCAGAAACTTGCAGAGTGCCCCCTTACATCACAATCCAGCAGAGTGCTCCCTTACACCAGAAACCAGCAGAGTGCCCCCTTACATCAGAAACCAGCAGAGTTCCCCTTACATCAGAAACTGGCAAAGTGCCCCCTTATGTCACAATCCAGTAAAGTGCTCCCTTACACCAGAAACCAGAAGAGTTACCCTTACACCAGAAACCAACACAGTGCCCCCTTACATCAGAAACCAGCAGAGTGCTCCCTTGCACCAAAAACCAGCAGAGTGCTCCCTTACACCAGAAACCAGCAGAGTACCCCCTTACATCAGGATCCAATGGAGTGTCCCCTTACATCAGAATCCAATAGCGTGCCCCCTTACATCAGAATCCAGAAGAGTACCCTCTTACATGAGAAACCAGCAGAGTGCCCCCTTACATCAGAAACCAGCAGAGTGCCCCCTTACATCAGGAACCTACAGAGTGTCCCCTTACATCAGAAACCAGCAGAGTGCTTCCTTACACCAAAAACCAGCACAGTGCCCCCTTACACCAGAAACCAGCAGAGTGCTTCCTTACATCAGAAACCAGCAGAGTGCTTCCTTACATCAGAAACCAGCAGAGTGCTTCCTTACACCAGAAACCAGCAGAGTGCTCTCTTGCACCAGAAACCAGCAGAGTGCTCCCTTACATAAGGAATCTACAGTGTGTTCCCTTACATCGGAAACCAGCAGAGTGCTCCCTTACACCAAAAACCAGCAGAGTGCTCCCTTACATCAGAAACCAGCATAGTGCCCCCTTACATCAGAAACCAGCAGAGTGCTCCCTTGCACCAGAAACCAGCAGAGTACCCCCTTAAATCAGAATCTAATGGAGTGTCCCCTTACATCAGAATCCAGTAGAATGCCCCCTTACATCTGAATCCAGAAGAGTTCCCCCTTACATCAGAATCCAGAAGAGTGCCCCCCCCTTACATCAGAAACCAGCACAGTGCCCCTTACATCAGAAACCAGCAGAGTGCCCCCTTACATCAGAAACCAGCAGAGTGACTCCTTACACCAGAAACCAGCAGAGAGCCCCCTTACACCAAATACCAGCAGAGTGCCCCCTTACACCAGAATACAGCAGAGTGCCCCCTTACACCAGAATACAGCGGAGTGCCCCCTTACACCAGAAACCAGCAGAGTGCCCCCTTACATCAGAAACCAGCAGAGTGACTCCTTACACCAGAAACCAACAGAGAGCCCCCTTACACCATATACCAGCAGAGTGCCCCCTTACACCAGAATACAGCAGAGTGCCCCCTTACACCAGAATACAGCAGAGTGCCCCCTTACACCAGAATCCAGCGGAGTGACCCCTTACATCAGAATCCAGCAGAGTGACCCCTTACATCAGAATCCAGCGGAGTGATCCCTTACATCAGAATCCAGTGGAGTGACCCCTTACATCAGAAACCAGCGGAGTGCCCCCTAACAGCAGAAAACCAGCAGGAGGGGGGGGGGGGGGGTTGGAGATAGAATGGGGAGAGAAATGAAGGAAATTGGGAGAGTTTAGTGAACTGCTCACTCACCCCAGGCTGGTATCTGTAGGCTCAGACAGTCTCGCAGCCCCAATGGATCTGCAGGCTGCTGTACTTCCAATCGCCCTCCCCCACATTCCCTGGGCTGGCTTGTTGGGCTGTGTGAGGCTTCACAGCTGCAGCCAGCCCACCTCAAAGTTTATGGACAGCTTCCTCCTGATGGACGATTGGCAACCTTGCCTGGGTACAACATCCGTGGGGAGGGGGGAGTTGCCTGGGTGGGCGCAACTGAAATCTGGGGGGGGGGGGCACAGCCCTCCACAGCACCCCTTAGATCCGGCCATGCCACACATTAGCAGGATGGATGTACTGCAAGTGGAGAGTTGTACTGCTGAGCAGCCTGGTAGGAGGAGGAGGAGGAGGAGGAGGAAGAAACAGCAGCAGCATGACAGATTGCCAGTGCTATGAGCAGCTTTTTCCTGTACAATTATGGACAATTACAATTACCAGAAAGTAATATCTTTGGGTTTCAGACCCCCCTGACTCCCCCCCCATCTGCGCTCCTGATGCCAAGTTAAATATGCAGTACCATAAAGCATGGTGGTCGTAACAATGTGGTCAAACCTGAGCAGCAGCCATGTTGTTGTTAGGTAGGTGAACAGGAGGTTGTAAAAAATGCAGATCAATCACCTGTTTTAACCGCCCCTTTGCCACCCATGTAAGCTCACCCTTAGACAGTTGTCCCCGGAACAAGTGTCCCCGTTGGATGCTTTCCCCATACCTCTTCTAGGATTTCTTTCACTTTCTTTCTCAGAGACAATGGTCATCAATACAAATAGAGGGGGTTATATCCCTAATGTGGACAAAAAGAGGAATAAAACCTTGACAGAATGTCTAACTTGTCTCAATTCTATCCAAAAACCAAAAAAAAAGCCTAGAGATTCCATTTAGATCAGGGTTTCTCAAGCAGGATTCCATGGAACCCTAGGGTTCCTCCAGAAGTTGCTAGGGTTCCTTGAGCAATGAGCAGTTTCTTCTTCACAGATATTTTCTCAGCGACACCATTGATCATTTGTTATCTGTAAAATAGTAATTCTTCCCAATGTCTATAAGTGGAAGGAGCATTCTTCCCACTGACCATCACACAAATGTATCACGAGTTGTAGATAGGAGGGGTTCCCTGAGACCATAAAGTTATTTCAAAGGTTCCTCTGTGTTGAAAAGGTTGAGAAAGTCTGCTTCAGATAAATACAGAGAGAAGGAATTCAACCAATTTAGTTTTTTTTAAGTCCTGACAAAATATATACATCACCACGGTACATTCCCTTTAAGGCTGTATATTGTGAACCTCCCCAGTCCTGTTCTCTTGCATCCTCCATATTCCATGGTGCCCATCATGTACTTGGTGGTTACACTGCTCCTCAGAGGGAACCTTAGAAATCTCTCTTACTTCAAACAGAAGCCAAAGCCAGCAGTGCCGAGGCACACCATGAGCTCCTTGATACCGGAGCCCTTGAAAATCTTGAAGACATAATCTTTATCTCCCCTCTTGATGTATGGATTGCCTGGCTGAGTGGATGGATTCCAGTCTCTGCTAGAAGACATGATTTGAAAGCAGATTGAAAACTTCAGAGATAAAAGATAAATGAGATGTCCTCCGCTACCTGGGCGTAGTGTTTATAATCACTTACAAACTTGATACCAATGTGGAACCCTTTATCTGAAAGGCTTGACATAAGATGGATCTGGTGTTTAGGTGATGCAGGTGTATACATAGGAAGAGGAACACTGAAAACTTGTTTTACTTTATAGTTTGTATACTGCCTGCTGTATATATGGGAAGGATTTTAGGAGGCCAGCCAACCTTGGATTAATTGTACCTTGGACCCTGTTCTTAGTTTATGGTCCTCCTGCCAGTTTAATGGGATCGCGCATAAAGATTACTTGTGTTATGCTTATGATATGTGTTGTGAAACATTTCTTTGGAACTCAGCCGGGGAATTTTTGAAAACTGTTGTTGTGTTTGTGGTTATTGAAATCTGTTACTAAGAACCATGTAAACGTCAGGTGCCTCTCCAAGCAGTTATCCTGTAATGCTCTGAAGACTCACACGGGTGCCGGAGTTGAAAGAGCTTGTTGCTGCTCACACATAGGAAGAGGAGAATGAAATGCTGCCTTCCAGGGAAACAGCTCAAGTATAGAAAGAAATGAAAGTGGCTTCCCAGGCCATGTCACCAACGCGTTTCACCCCACCCTCGGTGCTATAACTAAGCCCTATGAGCAAGGTGAAATGCGTTAGAAGTGTGGCCTGGGAAGAGTCAGGCTGAAGATGCTTTTATCTCTTTCTGTATTTAGGCTGTTTCCCTTCATCCTTCCTTTCCTATGTTGGAATCTTTGCGTCTCTTCCTTTAAATGCAATATAGGGACAGATTGCATTTTTGTATTTATTTTGGGCGCTAAATTATACTTTTCTTTGTCTCCTTGCACACTGGCTGAGCTGCCACCAACAGCTCCTGGTCACTGCTTGTGATCAGGAGCCAATGTGATGGGTTCCTTCTGTGGCAGCCAATCACAGCAAACATGTTATCAGGACGCAGCTGCTCCCTGCACACCGGCTGAGCTGCCACCAACAGGTCCTGGTC